ACACACACACACGCTTTTTATACACACATACATATATACATACATATACATACATACACACATTTTATATATGTACATACATACGCACATGTACAGACATGCACTTTTATTTATATATTTATTATATATATTTATTATATTTATATGCATACATACACACATTTTATATATACACACACATACATACATATCTTTTTTATACCCACACATATATACACACACATTTTTATATATATGTATACACACACACGCACATATAATGTGTGTGTGTGTGTGTGTGTGTGTATATGTAGAATATATGTATACTAACCCCCCCCCCCCATGTAGGAAGACTCAGGAGTAGTTGACCTGGGTTCATGCCCTAACTAACAGCAGGATCGGGCCCACCACCTAAATCTTTGGGGCTGTGATTGTAGATAAATGCCACGGGCGACGCTTCCTGGGCATGTTGCCACCTTAAGCACAACTCAACTCAGGTCCAGTTTTAGCTGGTGGGGTTTCAGTTTCGGGTCACTGCAGGGCCTGGTTGCCCAAGGACACAGGAGGGGCAGGCAGGCCACGGAGGAAAGTGTTTCGGTGCCTTTTGTCCACCTGTGGGTCGTGCCTGCCCTGCAGGGGGGAGGAGGCATCGGCTCCCCTGGCTCGTCAAGGCACGGCTATCCCCACTGCCGTCCAGGGCCAGCTGGTTGCCCTCAGTGCCCAGGGGCCTGACAGCCCCTTCTCTGCAACCTGCCATGCGGAGGAGCGCGGACGGCAGAGCGCCAGGCACGATCTGAAGTGCCGAATAGGGCTGCAGCGTTGTTGGTTGGAGCCACCTTGGTTTAAAGACAAGGACGTAGGCAGGCGAGGTTCTTTTGGGTAGGTGTGATCTCTTTTGTTAGCTGGTCTAACAAAAGAGATCACAGCTACACAAAGAACCACACCTGAATAGGGCTGGGCTTTTTGGCTGGAGCTCAGGGGTTGCTGCTGGCCATGAGCTGTCTCTGTACTCAGCTCCCAGAGCCTCCTGCACTGGAAATGCATCCTCATCTCTTCCCTTCTGAAGAGCAGAGGGCTCCTTCGCCCCTCTCCACGCAGCACAACAGCCTCATGCTGCTGATCTCGGGTGCTCGAGGCAAGCCCTTCCTTTGCAGCGAACCACATAGTTAAATCCAAATCCACAGCAAAGCCAGAGACCTGAAACAGAGCCCCTGCCCCTGCCCATTTGTGCACGCACAGGCTGGGTATTGTAGGGCTGCGTCTGGACTTCCTCATAGTTGTAAAGTGGCTTATACCTTACCCAGCTTTCTATTCTTAATAGCAGGGTTGACCTGAAATCATGGTGCTTTCTAGTTCAAACGGAGCATTCGCTTTCAATAAGATGATTATAAATCCAGCTTGCAAATCTCACACACACACACGCATGCACACGCACACACACACGGTTCAGGTTCCTTCTAGAGTCCTGCACTAAAAGGAGCAAATTGCAAGGCAGCTACATGTGCATCCATCATAACCAAACAAGCTCCATGTCCCGAGAGACCGCAGAGCAGACCTGCACACTGTTCTCCCAGGGAATTTAACATGTGCTATATATTGCACATGGACACACACACACACCGGAAAAATATCCCTGGTGGTATGGTGGCCTATTGCTATTGCATTAAGCCCATGGGCTGGCCACAAGGGGCTGAAGAGCCTGGTGAGGTGCATTGTACAACTAAGTCCCAGGCACGTGCATCCAAATGCCCTTGGGAGGAGGAGGTCTGTGTCTGCACCACAGGCACCTTGGCCATTCGCCGCTCCAGCCCTGCTCCCATTCTCTGCCCACTAGGCTGAGCTGGGAGGGCGCAGGCTGCTCTGAGCCGCCTACGGGGACCCTCTTCAGAGGGGACTGGAAAAGCTTCCAAATCACTTCCTAACCTGAGTTAAAATTGGGGACTTAATTTTATTTTTTTTTAAACCAACTCAGTTTCCAAAAGCCCCACCACCCCAAATGCCTTTTCCACAGTCAAGTTGTTTGCTACCCTGAACACGGGGACACTTTTACATGAGAAATGGTCTAGGGTCCATCACTGCAACACAGATTGTCCTGCCTGGGGCCTCTGGGGGTAAGCTGGCAAGTGCCCACATGCACGCAAAGTGCCTCCCCGCACCCCACGCTGCGACTCCCCCAAGGGCCCGGAGTGAGGGCAGAGCCGGGTGCTCAGAACAAAAAGAAATGTGTTACTTTGGCCTTGCTCCGAGGGGCCTTTTGTCAGGGAAGGCATCAGGATGCTGCCAGAGGACAAACCGCCGGAGGAGCAGGGTGTCGGTGGCTCCCCGTCTCTCCCACCCCAGTTCCCCGTTCCCTTGCATCGGCCTCTGGGGTGTGCAGAGAGACCCTGCTCCTAGCACAGCAAGGGCAGCGTGGTTGCAAACCCAACACCCACGTGCAAACTGTGTGCGAGCAGGCTGACACCAACAGCTCCTTGCCTGCACGATCTAATGGGTGTTTCCACCTCTGTTTTCTGTGCGTCTGTGAACGCGCCCATTGCTCCCCTGCCCACTGCAGGAGCTGGCTTGAAAGACTCACGTTCCTCGCTTCTCTTACACAGGGAACTTCTCTTCAGGCTGCTTTTAGTGTGTGTGATGCAGCAGGGCACAAACAGCCCTGAGGATTCATGCTTCGCCAGTGCACTGCAGCTGCAACAAAGCTCTCAGGTTCAGAGAGAAGGATACCTGCCTTCCACCACAAACCCTATATGGCTTCTCCCTGTGCCCCGGCCCGTTCTTTTAAAACTCTTAAGGGAAGGGTCTTTCCAGCTCGGGTTCTGTGGACGCAGATATCTGGTCAGTGAGATGATTTCCATGCCCAGAGATCATCCGGGGGGACCACATTACCCCCTGACCAGCCACCCACGTGGCATCGCTCCCACATGCACTCTGCTCTGCAGTTAGAGACAGTCTCTCAACCATCTGCAGACAGGCCCATGCTACGAGGCCTTCCAGGCCAGCCCCGAAAGGAGGCAAAGCAACAGCCCAGTGGGAGGTACCAGCGTCATCCCAAGCGCCCCCTGATCATCTTCCATCCATTCCCTTCGTGCGTGGTGGTACTTGGATGAGCTGCACCAGTCAGTCCAGGCACACTGGGAGAGACTGGGAGATGAAGCCTTTGCAAATGAACTGATGGGGAATCCCAGAGGTGCCTTCCTCCAAGCTGTCCTCTGCATGGCACAGGCCAATGCCGGCAGATGCTGGGGAGACGGGGCAGAGACACCCTACCTGCCCCCCGGGAAACGTGTCCCTGCTCCCCTCCGCATTCTTGCCCTCGCCTTGCACAAGGCAGGCACCCTGCCGGCTGCGCGAGGTATTTATGGGCCTGTTTATCTGATCTCAAGGGAGCCTGCTCTTATCTCAGGAGCGGCAAGGGTAGGGTTAAACTGGACAGCCCCCTAGACAGCACGGAGCCAAATTAAATACCTAAAAAAAACCCCAGCCCTGGGAACCAAAAGGTCCGAGAAGGCAGGGCCTGGGACGCAAGGGGAACGTGCTGCGTGCCTGCCCGAGCGACCCCAGGGCCCGGCCCGGTGCAGGGGAACCGGCCTGTTTCCCAGCCAGAACCAGGCATCGGAGGGAGGGAGAGAGCCCCCACTGGGCTGAGCTGCAGCCCCAGGACTGAGCACATCCCCTGTAATTGCTGGGGGTCTCCACGGCCGCTAAGATCCAGGGAACGATTTCCAGTCTGCGGGCGAGATGCAAGCAAATTTCCGAAGTCCCTGCGAGCTGGGAAAGCTGGCTCCACTCTGCCGCCGCTACGGCATGTGTGCTGCCAGCGAAACCTCCAGGTCTGAGCTGAGATCACACCCTGCCTGCCGTGCTGAGCTGCACAAACAGCCAGAGGCAG